ATTCTCCTACCTCAGCCTCCCAAGTAGCTGGGATTACAGGCATGCATCTCACCACGCCTGGCTAATTTTGTATTTGTAGTAGAGACGGGCTTGGTCTCTAGTTGGTCAGGCTGGTCTCGAACTCCCAACCATAGGTGATCCACCCGCCTTGGCCTCCCAAAGTGCTGGGATTACAGGTGTGAGCCACCACACCGAGCCAATACAATGCATTTTTAAACAATGCAGTAACATTGATTCTTTCACTTTTAGGTAGGTTGTTTCTATCCTGACCAAAGGGAGAGAGAGTGTGTGTGTAGACACACGTGTATATATCCTTATGTACATACAGTCTAGTGTTTAAAACTATCCAAATTTAGAATCCACAATGCTAGAAATCAACAACAAAAAAGATAGGTAGAAGATACTCATTGTTTGAAAATTAAGAATTATACTTTCATATAATCTAAAATACAAAGATGAATTCTTAATGATTTGTTACTATTTTGAAGTAAGTTATAAAACTGCTTAAAATCAAAACTTGTGAAATATAGCTGAAACAGTACTTAGGAGGAACTTTTGGGAGCTTTAAATGCATATACAGTTGGCCCTCTGTATCCATGGGTTCTTCAACTACAAATTCAACCAACCATGGATGGAAAATGTAGTTAGGCCTATGATGGCTGCATTTGTACTGAACATGTACAGACTTTTTTTCTTGTCATTATTCCCTAAACAATATGGTATAACAACTATTTACACAGCACTTACACGGTATTATAAGTAATCTAGAGATTTAAAGTACAGTTGACCCTTGAATAATGCAACAGTTAGAGGCACCAATCCCCATGCCATCAAAAAGCCATGTCTAACGTTTGACTCTCCAAACACTTAACTACTAATAACCTACTGTTGATTGGAAGTCTTAACACAAACAGTTGTTTAACATACACTTTTGTGCATTATATGTACTAATACTGCATACTTACAATAAATTAAGCTAGAGAAAACATAATTAAGAAAATCATAAGGAAGAGAAAATATAATTGTTATTCATTAAGTAGAAGTGGATCATCATAAAAGTCTACATCCTCATCATCTTCACATTGTGTAGGCTGAGGAGGAGGAAGAGGAGAGGCTTGTCTTACGATCTTGGGGTGGCAGAGGTGGAAGAAAATCCACCTGTAAGTGGACCCATGCAGTTCAAACCTGTGTTGTTCAAAGAGTAACTGTATTTTGGAGGATGTTCAAATTATATATCATTTTATATAATGGACTTGAACATCCACGGATTATGATATCTGCAGGGGGTCCTGGAACGAATCTCCCCAAAAATAGCAAAGAATAACTACATTATAAATAAACAAAGGCTACAATTTAATGAATAGGCATCTACCCCAAGACATTAGAAAAAGATCACCAAAACTAAGTAGATTTTCTAAATGCTTTGATTATATTTTTTAAATTGTTACTACTTTATAGGAAAAACTATTTTTGTATATTGTTTTCATATCCAGAAAATTTGCTAAACTCTCTTTTCAATTCCAGTAATTCATCTTATTTTCCTTTGAATTTTTCTATATATATAAACACACCATATACATATATATAACCAACTGAGAATGGCAGTTGTTTTTTCCTTTCCAATCTCTGTGTGTATGTGTATGCGTACATATATATACACATACATATACATGCTATACATATACACATTTGGCCTTACTATATTGACCAAGATTTCTAGTCTATAGCTGAACAGAATGGTGAAAATGAGCATAACTGTCTTTTTCCTGATTTCAAAAGAAAATCTTCAATACTTCAACATTAAATATGATATTTGCTGGTGACATTCTACGCTCTTACCACAAGGGACAGCAAACCATGTCCTGTGGGCCACACCAGGCCTGCTGCCTATTTTTGTACAGTCTGAAAGCTAAGAATAATTTTTACATTTTTAAATGGTTGAAAAAAATGTTTTAATAAAATTTTGAAACACAAGAAAATTATTTGAAATTCTACTTTCTGTGTCTGTAAATAAAGTTTCATGGAAGTATAGGTGTATACTTATTTGTTTTTTTTTTCTTTTTTTTTGAGACAGAGTCTCATTTTGTCGCCCAGGCTGGAGTGCTGGTGCAATCTTAGTTCACTGCAACCTCTGCCTCCCAGGTTCAAGCGATTCTCGTGCCTCACCCTCCTGAGTAGCTGGGATTACAAGCGTGTGCCACCATGCCTGGCTTATTTTTAGCAGAGACAGGGTTTTGCCATGTTGGCCAAGCTGGTCTTGAACTCCTGGCCTCATGTGATCCACATGCCTCAGTCTCCCAAAGTGCTGGCATGAGCCACCACACTCGGTACTGTTTTTTATTTGTTTGTTTGTTTTTGTTTTTTTAACGTATTGTCTATGGCTTACATACTGTCTTTATATCACACTACAGAGGCAGAGTTGAGATATTGGGAAAGAGATGATACACTCTCATCACTTTGGACTGCTCCTCAGTACATTACAATTTTCAGTGACACAGTTACAACTTGACAAAATTTTGAGGGCTATCTGTACTACCATATAGTAACATTTTGTTATTATTTTTGTTTACCAATGTATATTCATACGGGACTTAGAATGTTACATTTTTTAAGGCACAATTGAGCATGGGCTATACTGTTATTGAATTAGATGGCAAAGCATTAGGTTTATTATGCAATGACACTGTAGCTGTGCTAAAAGGACACAAATATAAATTATCAGACTAAGCATTCATCACAATTTTTCCAACTCACAGGTAAGCTCAGAAAAATTAGAAAATTTAAAACAGAATATCTCATGACAGAATTTATTTACAAATTTAAAAATACAATGAGGTTGCAAGAGAAGTAAGTTTCTGAGTGGTTGATCTGTTAGCCAAGCAAGGAAAGCTACTTATTGGTAATGAAAATGGTAAATCATTTTGAATTGCAGCAGCTTCAGAAATCTGTCCAGAGAAAACAGACTTAAGACTGTTACAGCCTTTCCATGAGAACAGTTGCTCCAAAAGTTGAGAATATTGGGAACCCTACCAATAATTAACTTAAAAACAAGACAAATAATTTTGAGTGGTTTTCCTTGATTCTTGATGGGTTAACAGATGTTACAGATACTACTCAATTGTTTATTTGAGGAGTCAATGCCAAGTGTGAAGTGACAAGAATTTGCTTTCATGAATAGTCTGCACGAAACAACTACAGACAAGAATATTTTCAAAATCATTGAGAAAACACTAATTCAATACAACCTAAATTGGAATCTGCTAAGATGAATTATAACTAACTGATGGTGGGAAAAAATATGTACAGAAAAAAATGGCTTAAAGAAATTTACAGATTATGAAAATGTAAGGGGTTTAAAGCCTGTGCGTATTCATTGTATTATTCTTTAGCACGTACTTAGCAAAGAAAAAAATAAGACTGTCTCTTGTTTTTTTAACCAATAGCGTTAATGGTGAACTTCATTTGCTCCTGTGGATTTAACTAACCACTGTCAGTTCTGTGAATTTTTGCCAGATACAGAAGTAGAAAATCCTGACTTGCGCTAACACAGCAGTTAAATGGCTTAGCAGTGGTAAAGTTTTATTGATTTTCTGATCTCAGAACCAAGATTGAAATTTTTCTGAATTATGAAGAATTGCCCCCCTCTCTCTCTCTCCCTCTCGAGACGAAGTCTGGCTCTGTTTCCCAGGCTGGAGTGCAGTGGCGCGATCTCAGCTCATTGCAACCTCTGCCTCCCAGGTTCTAGTGATATTATTAAACACTGAATGGATTTGGAACTTAGCTTCTACTGAAGACTCAATACTGTTACCTAATGAATTCAACCTAAAATTATAAGGCAAAAGCAGCATAATGTAATGTGAAACTTTATTGTGGTAAAGTCATTTGGACAATTAATGCTATTTGAATAACAATATCAAGCTGCTTTATATACTCCTGTGCTATCAAAACTTAAAACAAGAAGTGAGGTCTCCATTGCCACACAAATCCGCAGCAGATATTTTTTGGAGCTTAATTTATAGCTTTAGCAGCATATGTTGGACTATCCTCCTTTGGCAAATGCTCGGTCTTGTCTGTCCCTTGTGCTCCAAGAGAAAGCCATAAACCAAGGTCAAGTTTACCCAAAGGAAAAATGCCTTCGGGGCAAAAAGCAGCTTTGGCACAATGACCCCCTAGATGCCCATTTTCTTTCACAAATTGGCTGGATAGCTCCTCATTATCTTGTCAGTTCTTGGAAGGTTTTAAGGTGATTTACATTTTAACTAACATCTTTAGTTGTTTTCATTGGAAGTTGTTTTATTCCAAATAAATTGGCCACCAATAACAGAAACAGTAGTCTGAACAATTACTTTTTAAAGAAACAGTTGTCCTATTGGCAGCAGCTAGGTAGCACTTGGTAACAGCAGTTCTACAATGAAAGGATTATGAATAGTTCTTAGCAAAGCACAGAGTAAGGTGTAGTCCCCACAGTAAGTTTACAGACATATGACCTATGCCATCTCCCAAACCCCAAAAATAGACTGGCACAATGACAGTAAATGGCATGACTGATTAGCATACCATAAAAAACATCAATAATTATCTGGAAACAATTAGGTCATCTTACTCCTTATACTAAAGGAAGCTTTACATAGATTAGGAGTTAAACATAAAAATATAACCACTAATGTACTGGAAGAATATATTGAAAATTTTTTAAAAATAATTTTTGGGAAGATTTCTCTACGATAGAATCCTAGAAGTCATGAAAGAAAATACTGATAAATTCAGCTATATAAAAAATAACAACACAACAAGAATTTTTGCTTACCTAAAACAACCTACATGAAGTAAAAAAAAAGAAAAAGCAAGTAACAAACTATTGAAATTACTTGCAATTTACATTATAGGCAAAGAGTTAACATCCATAATATATAAAGAGCTGCTAAAAGTAAAAGGAGAAAAAGATCAACAACCCTACAGAAAAAAATGGCAAGAAATGTGGAAAGTTTATAGAAAGGATTCTAGGGAACCACCTAACTTTTTTAAATTGGTAAATATACAGAAAGAATTAAGCACTTTTCTGCTTTTACTATATCCAGGATAAATAAATAATTGATGAGAAGAAATTCTCTTTATAGAAATACTACAGCTAACAAATGAATAATGAGTGGTAAATATAAGTATTAGAATGCCACCATTTGAAACACTTATTAAAATGATAGACTTAGGCCATGTATTCTCAACGGGGGTAATATTCCATGAAAGGGGGTAAAAATGAATTCTTAGGGGTAAAATATCTTAAATATTACACAATGGTTTGTGTTCTCTTAAGGGGCCACAATACAAAAAGAGATACACAGTTGTCTGTGGTCTTAAAATTTCAAAGTGAGGGTGTGATCAATAAAAAAAAAAGTAAGAAAGTGACAATGAAAAAAGGTCGGGAAACACTGACCTAGACAATCATCATCAATGGTCGCTACCAGAAAAAACGGAGACTACACATTACATACCATCAAGCAGGAGTACATCACCACCTAGGAAATATCCTTGGTGAAAATTCATAACTGTATCTCATCAAACCTCTAAATCTAACTACCAATTTACAGGATACAAGGAACACAGACTATGTTAAAATACACTATGGGTGTGCAATTAGCCAAATCCAGAATGTGGGAAACCCTGAATAAACTGTAAGAAGAACAAAAAGGGAAGGAAGAAAGCTGTAGAATAAGAGATTGAAAAGACATACCAACAAACGCAATACATGAAGCTCATTTGGATCCTGATTTTAAGAAATCATAAAAATATTTTATGAGACAATCGGGAATTTCTATACCAGCTAGATACAGAACACTATGTGATAAGAGTATCGTGGTGATGTTTGAGATATCTTTTCAAGATACAAACTGAAATATTTACAGATGAAATCAGGGAGGAAAAAAAGACAAATTGGGGGAAACAAATTTCAACTCCTAAAATTGATCAGTGGTTCTCAAACTTTTGAGTATATTGTAGTCACTTGGAAGGCTTCTGAAATCACAAATTGCTCAATTTCTGGTATTAGGTCCTGTAAAAGGCCTGAGAATATGCATTTCTTACAAGTTCTTAGGTAATGCTGATATTGCTCGTCAAGGAACCACACTTTGAGAACCACTATCCCAGACACAGTTTCTAATTTCTTTAATATATAGACAGATATCATTAGATCTTATTTAAAATCAAGTAGAGAAAAAGATCTATGAACTAATAGAAAATAGGCAAAGGATTTGAACAGGTCAAGGAAAAAAATGTCCTCTAAACATATAAAAACATACTCAACCACCCTCAATATAAGAGAAATACACATTTTCAAAATATAATAAGGTATCATTTTTCACCTTTTGGTATTATAATTAGTTCTGTTAAGGGTGTGAGAAAACAGGCACTGGCAATATATTCATGATAGGTGTATAAATTGTTGCTGCCTCTATGTAAGGCCTTATCTATCAAAATTTAAAATACGCACATCTTTTGATTACTGCTAAACATTTATCAGAGATATTCACACATGTACAAAATGAGAAATGTATAATGATATTCACTGCAAGCCCTGTATTTATAAAATACACAAAACTAGAGGAAACTAATCTTCCATCAGTAATGGATTAGTTGAATAAATTACAGTATATCCATGCAGTGAAATATTATATTCCTGTTAAAAAGAAGGAAGTAGTTCTGCACATTCTGATATGGAACAAACTCTGTATCATATATTTATAAGAGAAAAAATATTACTAATAATTCTATTAATTTTCAGTACTTACTACTTATGTTCATTTGTTATACCATGAGCTAATAAAGTTTTAATCGGAGTATTTTAAGCTTTCTTTTTTTTTTTTTTTGAGACAGAGTCTCACTCTGTTGCCAGGCTGGAATGCAGTGGCACGATCTCGGTGCACTGCAACCTCCACCTCCTGAGTTCAAGCAATTCTCCTGCCTCAGCCTCCCGAGTAGCTGGGATTACAGGTGCCTGCCACCATGCCCAGCTAACTTTTGTATTTTTAGTAGAAATGGGGTCTCACCATGTTGGCCAGGATAGTCTCAATCTCTTGACCTTGTGATCTACCTGCCTTGACCTCCCAAAGAGCTGGGATTACAGGCATGAGCCACTGCGACCGGCCATGTTTTCTTTATGTTTATCTAAGGATACATCTCAGCCTATGAAATTACTTTATAATTTGCTTACCTGACTGAACGATCATCACTTCCAGTCACAGCCAAAGGTTTAGTAGGATGGACAGCAAGTGCCCAAAGTTCACCTTCACAATGCCCTTGCATAATTAGAAAAGGTTTATTTCTTTCTTGCACCACAATTTCAAAAATTTCACTGTCCTGTGTTCCAACTAGAATGTGGTCACCTCGCCAACACACACTCCTTACAGACAAACCTAGTAAAAAGTAAATTGTATTTAATATATAATGTTGTAATAATGATAGCAGCAGGAGGCAGACAAATCCCTACGCAGATAGGGGCAAGTCCTGGTGAAATCCAACCTTCAAACCTAAGACAGTTTAAAGCCTGAAAGCCAAGCTACAGGTCTTGGATAAATCCACAGACCAACTGAGAACATCTCTTTCCATTTGGCACACTTTCCTCTGATTGATCCCCACCTTTCACCTACTTTACACATATTTACCCTTCCCTAATTGGTTTTTTATAGTGTTGTGCCCATCTTTGAGTGGTGCCTTTTTAAAGCCTTTTTTGCATACTCACAAACCCATCAGCATGCAATTGCTCATTCTGAGCCCATAAAAGCTCCAGACTCAGCCATATTTGGGGACTGCCCACCTTTGGGTGGGGGGTTGCAGGTGGGGGAGACTACCTGACTTCAGCCCATCTCAGGTACCCTCTCCACTGAGATCTGTTTTGTCACTCAGTAAAACTCTTTGCCTTGTTCACTTGCCAGCTGTCAGTACAACCTCTTTCTTCTTGGATGTGGGACAAGAACTTGGAACTCACCCAACAGTGAGTACAGACATTAGACCTGTAGCATTCCCCTCCTACTCACCAAGCAACAGGAGAGGGAGCCACTGGGCACCACATGCCCCATTTATTGGGCAGGACCGAAAGAGCTATTAACTTGCTGTAACACCCGCTTTGGGGCTTCAGGGTCGCTGGAGTCCCCAAGTTTTTTAGGTGCCACCACATTCCCTTCATCCAGACGCCAACGCCCAAGGCAGAAGCAAGTCACAGCACACCCGGCCCAGCCACGGGCTGAGCACATATCCTGCAGCAAGTGTAGGATCCAGCCAGAGTGCAAGCCAAGCGCAGCCTGCCAGGCCAAGGGGGCAGGGTACCTCCTGGCGAGCCTGCAGCCCAGTGCAGCCCTGGACAGGGGCGTTGCCAGCCATGAAGGTCTCCAGCTGGCAAGGTGGCACCCAAAATATCCTGTGTCAATAATTCCAATATTCCTAAATTGAAGTTAATTTTGTACCTTTTATATCTTAGATGTGAGACAGAAGAAAATATGTAAGTCCTTGATCTATATTCACATTTTCTTCAACTGTCCATGTTGTTTTCTACATGAAATATTTCTGTCTTTTTATGTACCTAGTTCCTACCCAGCCTTCAGACATGTACTCTTCTTCCTTCTCCCTTGTAGACAACTCTAGCCATATCTACTTGCTCAGCCAGTCTTACAACACTTCAGTCTGCAATGTTCAATAAGTACTCAATTAGTAAATTACCTTTATAGAATTGTATTCTTTTTCTTTTAATAATCTGACTTTTTACTTGTCTATATTTCATTTCTTCAATACACTCATAAAATCATTAAAAAGAGAGAATTTTACTTTTTCTGCATACTCCTCAATGTCTGTTGTAATCTTAGGAAAGCTATTGTGTTTTTCATTTTTCTCATGTGTGTTACATGGCCAATATAAAGACACCATGTACCTCACAATGTCCTTATGAGGATCAGATAAGAAAAAGTCTCAAATTATTTTGTAAGCTTTAAAGCACAATAATGTTTAGCAAAACTAATGAAAATAGAGTAACAGTTAACATTGACATGCTTATTATGTGTTATCCTTATAAACATTTTAGAAATATCAATTCATTTGATCTTATATCCTAAATAATATATTTATTCTTATTCTCATTTACAGTGAGGGTAAACTACCAGCCCAAGGTCACACAACTTGTAGATGACTGGAATATGGTTTAAACACAAACCTGTGGGTAGTTTTTATAGTAAAAGGTCTTGTTTTATTACATCAATTTTTTTTAATCCCCAAGAGAAAAAAAGCCCCCCAGTTGCTGACACATTTGAATGAAGGAAAAATACATCTATCCACATTTAAATCATCCTGAACAAAAGTTCTCCAACCCTCAACATTTAGCCCCAACTGTTTATTTACAATAGTTTATTTGTTAAATAGTTATAGTTAGCATTCTAATAGCAAAATACTTTCAAAATCCAAAGATACTAAGTGAGTACCTCTCACATCTCTCTCTAGGTCCCATTATAATAGACATTAGATTTATGAAAGAATCTTTCTCCTAACAATGAACCTAAACTCTTTACAGGCAAAATTTCTCCTTAATAGAAGAATTTCAATCAAATGCATACAGGGTAAAGAGGCAAATATGAGTCTTATTTATATTTACAAAACTTACATTGATACTTACTGAAAGAAAGAGATAATCTTTGGGAAGTTTAGAGTTTGCCTAGTAATAAGACATTCGCTTTGTTATTACCTTTGTATCCCTGGTCTGTTTCCCTGAGATCAATCACAGTAATTGGTTTAAAAGTTAAATCCCAAAGACGAATACAACCATCTCTGCCACCAGTAGCAAAGCCTTCTTCACAAGCATTCATGCTAAAAATTCCTGCCTAGAAGAGGAAATAAAATAATTTAACAAAAAATGTTTTTAAAGAACATCTACTATATGAAGGTAGAAACCCTTTTAAACCAATCCAACAATATTTTGGTAGGATATAAGAATAAACAAATACATCAGAAAACACAAAAGAAAATCTAGAAGTAAGTCTACAGGAACTTAATACAGTTGCCCCTTGTGGATTTGAACTTCACTGGCCCACTTATATGGATTTTTTTCAATAAATACAGTCAGCTCTGAATCCACATTTCCACATCAGCAATAAAACCCAGAACAAAATGCAACCTTTGTGGGATGCAAAAGCCATAGATAGGGAGGGCTTTACATATGCAGGTTTCCCAGGGCAAGACTTGAGTATGTGCAGATTTTGGTATCTGTAGTCCTGGAGCCAATCCCCGCAAAATATCAAGGCATGACTATATATAACCAAGGCGGTATTTAATTATATGGATATAACATAAAAGAAAATAAATTTAAACCCTATACCACATGTAAAAATGAATTATAGATGAACATAAAATATAACCATTTATAACTAAATATAAAAAATAAAAACATTAGAAAAAGTCAGAATAACATTTAGGTAACTTTGGGCTGTGAGAGACTTTTCTAGGCATGGCAGATCACCCACGAGTTTTAAATTTGTTCATATGAGAAAAGATATAATAAGCAAAGACAAACAGATTGGAGAAATATTTGCAACACGTATGACTGTCAAAAGATTAATAACCCTAATATTCAAATGAATAAGGGAAATAAAAACAATTCTACAACAACAAAAAATTTAAAAAGTAAAAAAGCAAAGGGTAGGAAAACTCAATTAATAGAAGTGTAATGCACTGAGGACTTTTCTACATGAAGATCTTGCTGTCAACAACGTGGCGGCTTTGTGCTATCCAGTTCCCTTTACTTTGTAAAGGGGACCCAACTGCTAAAAAGCTCAAACCAAAAAACACTAAACAGTTTAAACAGCAGATTTCTTTTTCACAAAAAGTTATTTACACAAAAATTTAATTGCCTCTGGTAAATTAGCCTCAAGAGCACTAGCTTTATTCTGGTGTGGTTAATCTAGAATACTTTTAGATTGAAGTTAACAAGCTTTTTTTCAACACTACTCTTCAGAAAGACACCATACTAAAGCAATAGCTTTAACAAGATACTAACTATACTAATGTAATAAATGTCAATGAGTCTAAGTGATTTCTTCATTGAAATCTTGAAAACAAATATATAATTCAGTTAGAAAAGCATTTTTCAAGCAACCAAACTGACTAGAAACAATATACTATATTATGCAGTCTGTCATTCTAAGACAAGGTTAAGTAGTATGTCATTCTGAGACAAGGTTAAGCAATACACATTAAAGTATTTAAAATACTTAAATATACTTACAGCATGGGCTCCTTGTATTGTTCGTATAAGATTGATTCCTTTCCAGACATATATATCCCCATTGAGTGCACCAGAATATGTTAATTCATCCCTTGCACAGGCTAGGCACAGTATTGTCTGAAGGTCACCCGTCTTACCAAAGACACCTCGTTTTGGGGTCAGAGCATTTCCACATAAACTCCAGAACTAAAAGGTATACAGTATAATCAAATTACCAGAGAATTCTTACAAAATAAAGTAAAACATTCCCAATACCTTGATGCTATATTACAGCAGTGAGCTACAAATTAACTAAGAAATTGCCTTATGATAAAATAGCATTCAACGTTCAGATTCTCATCCTAGTGTTGTCAAAAGCTATGTTATAGCATACCTATAGTCACTGGTTTCAATTCTTATCTGTAAGAATAAGGGGTTTTAATCAGATTATTTTAAAAATATGCTATGCTTTCCTTAGCTTTCTGAAAAGAAATCTATATAAAACTTAGATTAAGCCAGGCTCAGTGGCTCATGCCTGTAATCCCAGCACTTTGGGAGGCAAGGGAGGCAGATCACCTGAGGTCAGGAGTTCAAGACCAGCCTGGCCAACATGACTAAGTCCCATCTCTACTAAAAATACAAAAATTAGCCAGGTATGGTGGCGCATGCCTGTAATCCCAGCTACTCGGGAGGTTGAAGCACGAGAATCACTTGAACTCAGGAGGCAGAGTGGCTACAGTGAGCCGAGAGTGCACAACTGCACTCCAGCCTGGGTGCAGAGTGAGACTGTCTCAAGAAAAAACAGAACAAAAAAAAAAAATTTAGGTTAAAAAGTTGGGAACGGGTTAGCAATGAATAGACTAAGAAGAAAAAGGACCAAATCTAATGTTCTCTCTCTGATAGAAACATTAAAGATAGGAAAAAAGGAGTATGCTACAGCTTATTGTAGCTGTAATATTTGATGTTTTCAAAGCTGAGCAATTGCTTTGCTTGTAAAGCTTAAAAAAATAAGATAGATGTCCATGGGGAATGATTTGTTCACTCTTGGGAGAAAATAAGAAGTTAAACATGAATCTTCATTACCAGGGATTTTGTTCTATTAGGTGGATTTAGGTAAATTTTATAGTTCAAGGAGAGAAATTTAAAGAAAAAGGAGTTGGGGGGAAGTGGGCGCAGTGGCAAATGCCTGTAGTCTCAGCAACTTGGGAGGCTGAGGTGGGAGGATTATTTGAGGCCAGGAGTTTGAGGCTACAGTGAGCTATAAATCATGCCTGTGAATAGCTACTGCACTCCAGCATGGGCCACATGGTAGGATCCCATCTCTAAAAAATAAACCAAAAAAATGGGACAGGACAGAGATATATACATTAAATAGTTCTGCATGAAGAAATTAGGCCCAAAGAATAAATTCAACTTTGTAATAAGTAATTAACATTTAAAATAACACAATTTATTATCATACATTCTTATTTTAAAATTTGAAGCCTCAAATAACTAAAAATTATGATCATTATCTATTCAAAGATCTAATAAGTACTTTAATTAATGAAACTTTATACTTTTTAAACTTAAAATCTCCACAATTTCTGTGTATATAAGTGCCTTGTTCTCTTTCTTTCAGCATGTCCTAATTTGAATCCATTATTTTCTTCTAGATCAGTGATTCCCAGTGTTAGCTTCACATTAGAATCACCTAGGGAAATTATAAAATGGGATGCCTGGACTCCCACTTGAGACGAACTGGGACAGAATCTCTGAAGCATGAAGCCCAGATATCCAAATGATTTTGATGCTCAGCAAGGGTTAAGAACCATTGTTCTAGACTCCAAATCAATATTGTCCAATAGAACTTTCAGTGATGATGAAAATATTACTTACACACACACACATACACACACACACACACACACACACACACACGCTTTCCAATACAGTAACCACTAGATACATAAGCATATGAAATGTACTGCCAGGGTGACTGAGGAAATGAATTTTAAATTTCATTTAACTAATTTATGTTTAAATAGCTACGTATGGTTGGACAGTGAAGTTCTAGATCATCTCTGGGAATTAATTTCCTCACACGTATTGCCTGCAAAGAGAACTATGTTACTATTCATTTCTTCTAGCAAAGGAAAAGAAATGTAACTCAGTATAAAAATATAGTTTATTTAGTTTGAGAAGATGAGCTTTTCATAAAAACCTGAAAATGGAGCCTTTAGTTTTACTTATAAAATAGTAAGATCTCTTTATTCATAATTAATTTGCCAATCACTTATTAAGCACTTAATATATATCAAGTACCATATCAAACATACTGTCCATCAAAGATGGACAAGACAAAAATCTCTACTTTCACAGTGCTTGTATCATGTGCCTTAAAGCCCAGCATACAGCCTTTTTGGTATTAAATATTTGTCAAAAATAAATATTTACTACTATCCATCAATCAAATCAATACCAGAATAACAAATCCAGAATTGCAGCAGCAGTGAAAGATGCACTGGAGAAAACGTGGATGGAGTCAAGCATATTGAAATAAAGAATGTGAACACAGAACCTTAATTCACTAGGAATTAACTGTTATCAGGAACTGTTACATCAGACAGTGGAAGTAAAGCAAGTTATTTCCAATTTGTTCCAACAATTTAAAAGTAAGTATAAACATAACAAAGAATATCACCACTGACTCTACAGGCTTCAAAATCTGAGCTGTAATTATAAAACAAAACCCAGAGCTTTCATAAGCAAAGTAAATAGTGGCTATCAAGGCTAAGGAGAGATTTGTTAAAGGATACAAAATTATAACTAGATAGGAGGAATAAGTTCTACTACTCTATACCACTGTAGAATGACTATAGGTAATACGAATAGACAGTTTCAAATAGCTAGAAGGAGGATATTGAATGGTCCTAAAACAAAGAAATAGCAAATGTTTGGGATGATAGCTAATTACCCTAATCTGATCACCATATATTTTTATGTATCAAAACATCACTATGTACCCATGAATGTGTACTATTATTTGTCAAATAAAAAAAAAAATGTAAAGACTGAGGTCAAATCAGGGAGCAAACATAGAAAAAGGAAAAGCAACACTTTCAGAATGCAGACCATGTGTTAGGCACTATGACAAGCACTTGAATATATACTGCCGCCTTATTTAATCATCAGTTCTTTGAGGATGGTAACAGCAGTCACAGTTTTAAAATGTGAAGAAAAAAAAAAGCTCGAAGAGGTTAAATAACTCATACTAGGTTAAACAGCTAATAAATGGCAAAGCCAGGTCTACTCATGTTGCTTCTCCCACACCATTCTATCTATGTAAATGAAAAACTCTTCATTTGTTTCCTATTCTCAACATTTTACTTTGTAAGTGAAACATGAAGAAACAGGATGGACACAGTAAATCCTGCCTCACTGGATAACAAATTTCTTTATGGAATGTGGCTTATTAATTTCCTATTCATACCTATATCGCTTACAATAATTCAAAGCAAATAATATACATATTTGTCTGATTGAACATAAGAACAATAAAAACATTGCCATTTTAAAAGTAAGTATTATCAAAATTCTGAAAGTAGTCTAAATTGTTAACAGTGAGATATATACTTAGCAGCAGAGAACTAAACGTGACTATTATAAAACAAGACCCTTCTAGTACCTTGATATGTTTTACACCACAGCTGACAAGTTTATTTGGCTGGTACAAATCCCAAGAAATATCAAATATCTGTAAACAAATCAGATTCATGATTAAAATACTTATTTCCAGAATCATTTAAAAATCCTGTCCAAAAGATCAAATGGCCCAAACTCCTAATCATAAAATAAAATTACTCAATAAATAATAATCAGAATCCCACACTTTAAAATCTTATGAGAAATAAAGCAAATTTGAACCTGATAAGAAATAAAAAGTATTTCTTAGTTTCTATGAACTTCAAACACTACTGGAGTAAAACTGAACACCTCCATTTATGTTTAATTTTTTAAAAAGATTGGTCCATAAATAACAAGAATGGTTCAACAGAATTAGGGCATGAAGGGAGGTGCTTGCATAATTTCTACAGAGAAGAGATTCAGAATGGAACATGACACTCATACAGCCTAGAAGTAAGAAACATCTTTATAGCTTTCTATCACTCAGAACTATTTACATAAAGAATCCAAACACTGATTTTACAGTAATTTTTTCAGTGTTTCAAGGTCCAAGTTAACTTATACTTAAATTTTGAGGAGTCTCCAGGCTTCATTATTTTCTAAAATTCCATAAATTCTAAACACATGGAAAACATTTTGTTACAAAAGCAAACAAGCAAAAACCCAGGTGAAATAAAATACGAATTAGAAACATAATTAAACAAATGATGAAAGAAAAACTAACATTTAAAAAATAATTCATTTATTCTGTTTTCTGGTAGTCTTCATGTTTCTTTGACACCTTATCAACCTACCTCTAAAAGGTTTACATTTTTGGTATACTAAAATGTACACTTTACATTTTGGTATACTCTAAAAATTTACAAAAGTGATGCTCTTTAGTGATAATGAAGAAATAATACATATTTAAGTTAATATTTAACAACTCACCATAATACAGATTATATGAAAAACATCAATGCAACTTTGAAATATTCAACCACAATAATACTTTCAAAAACTCCACTGACGATGTCATATTTTATAATAATGGGTCTATTTATTAAATTCCCAATAGTCATGTGCAAAATGCTTTGATCTAAACAGGTAAGAACATGCCAGCTGTCTAATAAAATATATCCAACATTTTAATAATGGTTTAAATTGTGTGTTTGTGTGTGTGTGTGTATGTGTGTGTGTGTGTGTGTGTAACAGGCCTCTCTGAGCAGCTACTAAAAATCAAATGTATTCTTCAAAATGCGAATATACACAAAATTTTCTACCCAACTTTTAGAGTCATAAATTCCCACCAAACAGAATCATTGGCCATACCTCTGTGCTGGTTCAGGTTAGTATTTTACTACACATACATACACACAAATTAGATACTTTTAGGAGTTTATAACTTTTTTGATCTACATCCATAAAACTAGTATAACATTTCATTAAAAGCTGGCTATGATGTATTGTTTATATACAACTTGGAATGAGGAATATATATTCTAACAAGTTGTCAGTTAAAAATGTTAGGTCTCTAAAAAATGTAATAGTAATACGCAATTTTAAATCCATACAAGCAGCATCATTTTTCACCTTAACTATAATACATATGTAACAAATTAGTGGTAAACCAAACTAAACAGACCCTAGGCTCAAACCATTCAATTTTTAAATTGAGATTTGAATAATGGGTGTCTCCATATGTCAAACCCATCAAACTTCACACATTAAATATGTGCATCCCTATGTATATCAACTATATTTCAATAAAACTGTTTTAAAAAATGGAAAGAAATACATTGTTTTTACTGAAGCAAACACTGGGTTAAAAGTCTCATGCCTAATGTAGATGATGGGTTGATGAGTACAGCAAACCTCCATGGCACGTGTATACCTATGTAACAAACCTGCACATTCTGCACATGTACCCCAGAACTTAAAGTACAATAAAAACAGGAAAAAAAGTGTTATGCCAATGCTATACATATCGAATGATGTTTCCAAGTCCTACAATACACATGTACTCTAAGACTTTAAGAGTTTTTCCATCTGTACAATTATTTACCAATTGCAAAATTTTAATTACATACGACCAATCTGGCAATAACAAAATCCAGAAGAATAAAATCCCTTGAAGTCTCCTCTGGTCTTTCCCTTCCAGTACTCGTTAGAAATCTCAAAAGAGAATACTTACTCTATCTGTATGACCAGGAGCCATAGACAACATTTTTCCCCTTTTCCAGTCCCAAACACAAACTGCATTCTTTGAATCCAGTCCAACTGAAACCAAGCGCTGAATTATGTCCACAAAGTCCAGGAAGGAATAAAAAGGCAAACAAATCAAAGAGAAACCAAATTATAAATAGCAAATAAATTATACTCATGGGTTTTTATAAGCACAAAACATACACATCTATATTTACCTCATAAAGGCTGAATGTATTTCACCCTGTTAGTGTTTCCACATATGTATAGATCTTCACATTATGAAACAGAACAGAGACTTCCATTTCTAACAGTAGGACTGACAAAATATCCTAAATATACCTCCTACCAAAAACTAAAAATACTAGATAAAATGTAAAATCATCTTTTTAAATGGACTGATGAGCTGTCGAAGAATTAAGAAATCTAAGAACAAAACCAAAGTGATTTCCAGTGGGAAACCCGGAGGGTGAGAAAACACCTACACCTACTGGACTCTAAAGGCATCGGGTGAATACTCGTACCCCTGATTTCTGTGCTGTGGCCTGAGGAAGAATAGGAGACAAAGTCGAGGGCCTACCTAAGGTGGGGATTTGAATTGCAGATCGCCTCTGATTAACCCAGTAAACCTCTCAGAAACAACAAATAACCCCTTCCTAAAGAAGGGGAGGCAACTCATGAAGAGGGAGAAACACCTCCCTGAACATTTGTAACCACAAGCAGCCTTCACATGGTTGCTGGCCTAAATTCACATTAAACATGAATCCTTCAACTAGGAAATTTAATTCAAACTAGTCTTCAGGGTTGGTTGTGTCTTCGAGCAACTTCAACAACGTGGCCCAAGCAAGTATAAATCCTAAATGAAGTACCGCAACTTCGATCCATCCCTCAAAGAATTCCTACAGGTAGCAATTCAATAAAAATAAGCTACAAAAAAAAAAAAAAGGCCAGGTACAGTGGCTCACACTGTAATCCCAGCACTTTGGAAGGCCGAGGCAGGCGGACTGCTTGAGGCCAGGAGATATTGAGACCAGCCTGGGCAACATGTTGAAACTCTGTCTCTACTAAAATTACAAAAATTAGCCAGGCATGGTGACACACGCCTATAATTCCATCTACTCAGGAGGCTGAGGCAGAGGAATCACTTCAACCCAGGAGGTGGAGGTTGCAGTGAACTGAGGTCGCTCTACTGCACTCTAGCATGGGAGACAGAGCGAGACTCTGTCTCAAAAAATAAGAAGCAGCAGCAGCTAAAAAAATAAACAAACCACCGCACCCACACACACAGACACAACAAAATAAGAATCCATGAGTGAGAATGGGCAAGTCACAACAAACAGCAAAGTCGACCTTGCAAAAAACATCAGATATGGAATTATTAGATAAATAACATAAAATAAGCTTAATGTGAGTAAATAAAATTAAGGATTCAAAATATCTGTATATGAGCAAAGAATATGGAACTATAAAAAGTATCCAAGGAGACTTGAAGAAGCACACGGAACTTCCGGAAACAAAAAATAAAGTAAGTTAAAAATTCAATGGAAGAGTTAAATACAAGATTAGCAGGAGATGAAAAGACAAAGTTCAAAAGAGAAGTGGATAGTGAGATGGAAAGTATGAGAGAGGTTTAAAAACATAAAAGATGGACTTCTAGCCATGAAGGCGTATCAAAGTCTGAACTTACCCTCCCTCACCCGCCCCTGCCATAAACAGCTAGAAACTGTACAGAATACATGAAACAAATGTTTTGAGACATTTGCAACAGGAAGTAAAGCACTGTGAACCCTGAAAGAGGGAAAAACAAATAAGTTAAGTCCTATAATCACCCCAGCTTCCATCTAGGAGGCAATTTCCAGTCTATGGCACAGAAAGGTGGAATCCAAATAGAGCTCAGTAGACTTACTAATTTGGACAAACAGAGCCTGGAGTTCAGAGAGGACAAGATGGCCAGAATTTGCAGAGCAGGAAAACAGCTCCAGTAAAACTATCTATAGTAAGATTTGAGAATATTAATCTCTGCATGCATAGGATGAACTCTATGAGGTCATGCAAAGAAGAAATTCTAGAAAAAGAACAATTACTCGAGAGCTAAAAGCAAAAAATTCTCAGAGATCACAAACGGTCCAGAATCACTCAAATTCTCAATAACCAGAATGAAGATATCTCTTTGAACTCGCTGGGCAGTCATCAGGAATCCTGAGGTCAGGAGGGGAGTGTCATACCTTAATAGTGAAGTTATACCAGTAATTCTAGAGCAAAAGCTATTCTAGTGCTGCCTCATAAAAGTTTGAAAGCAAGCTTTTCACAAAGATGAAACTGATTCATGAGGTACTTGACTATTTGCCAGAACAGTGTCCATATACTTTAAAAGGATATAATAAAATTACTGATATGTGAAGAAACAGAAAAATGTGACTCATAACCTGGGGAAAATCAATAGAAATAGGCTCAGGAAACCCAGAGATAATTAAGGTTAGGAGACATTTGCTGTTAAAATTAACATTTTCAAGACACTCAAGAATTATCTTAAACATACCAAGAATAAAAAAGAAAAGATATAAAAGAACAACATAGAAAACTGTTACATTATCTAAAATGAAAATTTACTCCAAAGGATTAACAGCAGCTTAGACAATGATGAAAAGATAAATAAACCTGAAGACATAGCAATAGAACCCATCCAAAATAAAGTACAGAAAGAAAAAGAAAAAAAGAATTGACAGAGCTTCAATGACCTGCAGGAAAATATCAAGTGGTCTAACATACAGGCAAGTATGGCTCCAGAAGGAGAGAAACGACAGAGGAAAAGAAAACAAAAAAACTGAAGAAATAATAGTAGAAAGTTTCCTAAATCTGATGAAACCATAAATCCACAAATATAAGATGTTCAACAAATCCCAAGCAGGATAATGATTCACACAGAAAAAACACACAAGACACATGGCAAACAAACTGCTGAAGCCATCACTAAAGGGCAAATTCTAAACAGCAGCCAGACAAAAAAGGACAACTGCTGTATGGATGAACAAAGATTTAAAAATTATCCTAGACTGCTCATCCAAAGTGATGCAAGTTAGAAGACAGTGGACAAACAGTTTAAAGTGCTGAGGCAGAAAAAAAATCAGCATAGAATTGTATACTAAGCAAAAATATCCTTTGAAAATGGAATCAAAACAAAGTCTTTTCCAAGCAAACAAAAGCTGAGAAAATGAATCATCAGTAAACCTGCACTACAAGATATGATAATGAAAGTTTTCTCCCGCAGAAGTAAAATGATACCAAATAGAAACGATTTACACATATGAGAGTGTCCAAGTAGTAAATACATAAGATTTTTCTCATTAAAAAAATTTTAACAACTATCTAAGGCAAAATAACAGTTATTATGTGGTTTTCAAAATACGTAGAAGTATTAATAAAATAAATGACAATAGCACCATAAACAGAAGAAAGGAAACAGCAGAATATACTTTTTCATATTCTTTCCAAATATACATGAAACATCATGAAGATCACAAAAATTTGGATTACAAAGTGTCAATAAATTTTTAAAAATTAAAATACAGAGTATATTCTCTGACAAAAACAGAATTAGAGTAACAGAATGTTATCCAGAAAATCTCTCAAATATTTGGAAATTAACAACATACTTCTAAGTAACTGAAAGGTCAAAGAAGAAATAACAAGAAAAATGTGAGGAAAAACCCACAACACATTGTGTGAAAAGTACTGGTTTAGAGCAGGGGTCAGCAAAGTACATCTCTCAAGCCAAATCTTGTCTGTACCTGTTTTTGTAAATAAAGTTTTACTGGAATATAGCCACACTCATTCTTTCATTCATTGTCTATAACTGCTTTCACACTACAGGGCAGAGCTGAGTAGTTATAGCAAAGACCAAATGGCCCACAAAGCTTAAAATATTTACTATTTCACTTATAGAAAGTTTATCAAACGGTGGTTTGGAGCACAGATTCTGGTAGCAGATTGCCTAGGTTTGAGCAACATCTCTTACTAGCAGGGGTGACTTTGGACAATTATTTAGCCTCCCTGTACCTTACTTTCCTCACCTATTAAATGGGGATATAAAAGTACTTCACAGGGGTCACTATGAGAATTAACATATACACTATTTAAAGGAATTAGAGGGCCTCATATATGGTTAATGTTATGTAAATGTTTGCTTCATATCATTATTATTATTGCTATTAGTTTACTATAACCATAGTTAAATGGGGACAAATAAAAATACCTCACAGGGGTTACTATGAATATTAACATATATACTACTTAAAGGAGTTACAGTGCCTGGTATATGGCTAATGTTATATAAATGTTTGTGTAATATTATTATTATTACTATTAGTTTACCATAACCTTAATTAGCTTTAAGAACCTACACCCTCTAACTGTCCAAATGAGGAAGGTCATCTAATATCCAGTTACAGTTTCTGAAAAGAAAGTTTCTACTATTTAAACTTCAAAATTGGTAGGATGAATAATTTATATAAAAAGACACAGAATACAGTTTGTTATGACTCTCCATCAAATCAAGCTAGCAGAAAGCCCAGAGAACAAGAGGAGATGATTTGTACCTCCTGAGAGTATTTACTATTTGGGAACCAAAGGGCATCAGCAAAAAATCTAGCTAGAACAAAGATATCTACCTCTTGCTATCAGAATACTGTGTAGAGGTTAAAATTTCACAAGACAAGTATATCAAGTGAGGAATAGCCGGAGGGGCACTGCTGTTCTTTCTACTGATGTTTCCTCTGTCTGGCACAGCTCATCAAATACACACAGCAAATCACAATTGGCCAAAAACTTTAAATTCCATGTATCCAAATACAGTGTCAATACATCTAGTTCTGTACAGACAATAACAAATTAGACTTGAGAGCACTTTCTCTGTAGCCTTGATAAACATATCATGGCTCAAACCAATATCCCTATGCATAGGTTACACAACAACAGACAGGACAAGGTAGAAATCACAAAGCAAATATTACCTCCTCTTCAAGCTTTCTAACATTTTTTACTTTATCATTTCTTTTCTTTTAACCCCAACTTGGTAGATGAGAAAGAGAATAAAGAAAGTTTTCAAGCAAAAGTAATGCTTAATCCATATCTTGGAAAAGAGAGTCAGAGACAGTCTGTAGAAAAGTAATAGAAAGTACATTTCAGAACAAAGGACCTCAAGATTAAAGAGATTACGGTGCTTTCAAGAGAGTGCCAGTAATTCAATCCAGGGGAGGGAAGGAGTGCCAGCTGGAAAGCAGCAAGGGACAAGGCTGGAGAGGTAGGGCAGAAGCCAAGAGGAAGAGGTTTTTGGTTTTGTTTTTTTTTTTTTTTTGATAGAGTTCGAATAAAGAGAGAATTCAGTTTTAAATGTATAAAATGGAATATCTACAGAACATTCAGGAGTGATATTTAGAGTTGAGAAGCTAGAGCCACTGTTAGCTGATATGGAAGTTAAAGTCACGGGCCTATATACTCACCCAGAGAATATAAGTAAAGTAAAAAGAAAAGGCTACAGACTCCTGAAGAACACTGACACTTAAGAAGCAGACAAGGAAAGACTCCTTTAAAGATAAGAAGTAATAGTCAGGGAGAAAGAAAACCAGATAAAGACTCTATCCATCTTCCCAAATTCCTCCCTGATCCTATTCCCAGACAAAATCTTATTTGTGTCCATTAAGTGAATTGGAAGTATCCATAAAAAATTCTAGCACACCAAATTTTTAAATAAGAAAGAGATAATAATAGCATCTATTCCATAGGGTTGTTGGAAGGATTAAATGAGATAATGCAGGCTTAGCATAATGCCTGGCACTTAGTATATGCTCAACACCTTTAGCTATTATGTTTTCATGAACTTAAAATTTTAAGTAATATGTTCTCATGAAGATCTGTGATAATGAAATACACGTACCCAAGACTTTTCTTATAAGTTGCTCAAAATAAGTGAAATTAAACAATTTCAACTAGTAAAAGCTATGGGCATGATTTCTCCTTGGATATATAAAAGAAACTCCTCAGCAATGCAACATATTACATTTAGAAAGGGTAAATTTAAAGCTAAGAAGAAAATATCTATATTTAATGTTATAGACACTTATAATTAAAATGGCTTGAATTTCATAACACCTTAAGTGATTTTTTAAAATAACTTTGTAGGTTTGTTTTATAACATTTTATGCTCCTATGAAATAGATAAGTATTATTATTTCCTCTAAAAAAGAAAATGAAATTCCAACAGTATATTAAGACTTGAAAAATTATAGCAAAAATGGGACATGAATTAAGTTTGTGCAATTGCCAAACACTGCTATATGGTGATATAAACCTAGAAGCACATTTTCTTTTTCCAAATAAGAGATTACAATTAAGTCTTTATAGATCCATTACCAGAAAGTCATATCTTACTAATATGAACAGGAGGCAGGGAAATACTGGGTAGAAGAGGGTGGGGTCCCTGGCAAGGGTTCCACCCTCAAGCCTGGACCCCTGGCCCTAAATAAGAACATGCATTCCTGTTTTCTTGCCCGAATGTTGCCTTTGCCAAAATCACTCTGGCCCACCACAACCCCAACCCTGTACCCATAAAAACCCCAAACTCCACTGGCAGAGGAGCAAAACAGCACTGCAGAGAAGGAGAGAAGTGAAGTGTCTGCACATCAAGAGGAGCTTGGCCGGGGATGGTCAGGAGAAGATTATCTTCCCACTCCATCCGCTTTCCAGCTCCCCATCCCGCTGAGAGCCACTTCCATTGCTCAATAAAATCCTCCATATACACCACCCTTTAATCTGTTCTTGTGACTTGGTTCTTCCTGGACGCTGGACAAGAATTCAGGATGCACTGGGTGCAGGAACCCAAAAAGGCTGTCACACTGACTCTTCACTGAGCTGTTTAACACTTAAGCTACCAGTGTTAAAGAGTATTGTTTGTAACACACACTCTCTGGGGCTCCAGAGGTTGTGGGTAACCCCTAGATGCTGCCACAGGCAAGCCAGCACCCAAAGGCACTCGCTCCGGCTCTCCTGCAACCTCTCACCTGCGTGCCCCACTCCTGCAAGGGGTTTGAGCTGCGCAGCCAAGTAAATGAGCCACACCCATTACAAGTCCTATGAAGGGGTCAAGGGAACTCTCTCATCTCATTACCAGAAAATCATATTAACCTATGCTACTCAAAGAAGCTATTCCTCAGAGTAATATAGAAAAACATCTACTGGTTATCATGTTCAAGGGGATAGAACACACTGTAATTTGTTTCTATAAAATTGAGATCTATAAAATTAATGAATTAAAAAGCAGGTAACTAAAATTGTTCTAAAATTTAAAATGATTTTAAAGTCTAATTATAACATAAAACTTTTAAAGATTATAAATGAACAACCTGCAAGATCCAACTTTTTACTGATAACTTTGAAACTATTTTTAGGTATAACGATTTCCATAAAAGCACCACAAAAAAAGCCCTTGGCTTGTTTAACTTTTTTAAATCATTGACTAGAAGTAGATGATAATTTAGAAACTGATTAGTCAGTTGAGTGATAATTATATCCTTTGTTGTGAACTTTGATTTTGTATAAAAAATAACTCATAGGAATTGTTCCATTATATTCAACAAAAACATAATTTTAATAGACAACCTTTAAGGTAACTGAAAATCGAAATATAGGCTAGGTGCAGTGCCTCAAGCATGTAATTCCAGCACTTTGGGAGGTCAACATCACTGGAGGATAGCTTGAGGCCAGAAGTTTGAGACCAGCCTGGGCAGCACAATGAGATCCTATCTCTACCCAAAAAAAAATTAGCCAGGCATGATGGTATGTGCCTGTAGTCCTAGCTGCTCAGGAGGGTGAGGCAAGAGGATTGCTTGAGCCCAAGAGTATGAGGCTGCAGTGAGCTATGATCATGTCACTGCACTCCAGCCTGGGCAGCACAGTGTGACCCCGTCTCTAAAAATAAAAAAATAAAATTTAAATATATATAGCTTTCTAAGAAACTTAATTATCCTAAGATATCATCCATCTATCCTATCAAAATACCCTAACTGGAAAAGAGTTATATAGAAAAATCTCTATAATAACCAGGTAATATTCCACTGACTCAAAATTACTTTGGCTTTCAAGGTAGTAATTAATTCAGTTGAGAAAGTTCTTGACATGATGAAATAAAAACCACATTGTTATATATCAACTACCCACCCCACCTACCCACCTCCACCTTTGAACAAATACTTTTCATCAAGTGTCCAAATTAATATTTATAGATGTATAATCATTTTCTATAACACACTTGAACATACAATTTAGAAAAAAAATGAAAAACTGTCACATACCTGTCCATCTAAGTCAAACGCCAAGCAAGCTATACCATGTGTATGAACATCCTTTAAAACTGATATGGTCTGCACAGTGTATGAATCCCAAATACAAATATAAGGCTCTTTCCCAACTTGTCCTGTTGCTACCAACACTCGTTCAGGGTGCAATGCAAGGCTGTAAAATAAGGAAATAAAGAAATAAGTAGTATTATTAAAAATTGCTTATACAGATTTTATAGTATTTGGTAGATGAAAAACATATATACCAGTGTGAACATTAGACTTTATCCATTTTAGACAATTTGGATTTTTTTATTATTATTATTTTTGTTGAGACAGTGTCTTGTTCTGTCAGCTAGGCTGGAGTGCAGTGGTGTGATCTCAGCTCACTGCAACCTCCATCCCGCCAAATTCAAGCAATTCTCATCTCAGCCTCCTGAGTAGCTGGGATTACAGGCACCCGCCACCATGCCCGGCTAATTTTTGTATTTTTGGTAGAGATGGGGTTTCGCCACATTGGCCAGGCTAGTCTTGAACTCCTGACCTCAAGTGATCTGCCTGCCTCAGCCTCCCAAAGTGCTGGGATTATAGGTGTGAGCCACCATGCCCAGCCAGTAATTTGGATTTAAAATAAATAGCTTCTATAAAAATCCATGCTAACAGTTACTACTTCATAGACTATGTGATAAAGTTAATGATAAGCTAATTATACCCTTCATGATCCCTGCAATATACTATGTGTAAACTTCTCAAGAAAAGAACTCTCACAAGACAGTGACTGGATCACAGCAACAAATTGGCAGCCTTTCCTCATTTAGTATTGACCTGTTTTCAAGCCTTCTTTCCCATTTTACTATTCCTTTCATTGAATAAAGTTAGACCAAATCTTAATGTCTAAATACAGCATTTAGTAGCCCTGCTACTATAACACTCTTTTTTTTTTTTTTTTGGGACAGTTTCCCTCTTGCCGCCCAGGCTGGAGTGCAGTGGCCGGATCTCAGCTCACTGCAAGCTCCGCCTCCCGGGTTTACGCCATTCTCCTGCCTCAGCCTCCCGAGTAGCTGGGACTACAGGCGCCCGCCACCTCGCCTGGCTAGTTTTTTGTATTTTTTAGTAGAGACGGGGTTTCACCGTGTTAGCCAGGATGGTCTTGATCTCCTGACCTCATGATCCGCCCGTCTCGGCCTCCCAAAGTGCTGGGATTACAGGCTTGAGCCACCGCGCCCGGCCCAACACTAATTCTTAAATTATAAATTCCATTTAAGAAACAGAAAAGTCACCCATATTTCGCAGAAAATAATCTATGAGTCTCTAGAAACAAGACAAAGACCTAGCAGTTGGTAATAGCTTATATACATCAGCAGAAGGCGGGGAAAATATAAATTCTATTTGATAATTTTTTTCTATATGTCAATTTAGAATATCACATTTGCCCTTGAGATGAAAAAGAAAATCACTCATGGCATCAGGGTGGAGAATCAACTAAAAGGGGAAAATTAGGAGGATATTAAAACAGAATCAAGGCTGGCTGTAATGGCTCATGCCTATAATACCAGTGCTTTGAGAGGCCCAGGCTGGAGGATCACTTGAGGCCAGGAGTTCAAGATCACCCTGGGAAACACATTAAGCCATTGTCTCTACCAAAAAAATTTTTTAAAATGAGCCAGACATAGCAGCACACACCTCTATTCCCAGCTACTTGGGAGGCTGAGGTGAGAAGATCGCTTGAACCCAGAAGTTCAAGGCTGCAATGAGCTATGACTGCACCACTGCATTCCAGCCTGGGCTTCTGGGCCAGATTCTGTCTCTAAAGTAAATAAAGACGACAAAATTAACAGACTGGATGCAGGGGACAAAGGGAAGAGAGGGGGCTAAGATGACTCCTGGGTTTCTGGCTTGGGTATTTGAATGGTTTGGGGTGGTATTCAACAAGTCAGGGAATACTAAAGGGGTAATCAATGGGAGAGAAGTTAAGTGGGAATACCAGGTTGGTTCAACATATGAAATCAACAAATATGGCATATTAACAGAATAAAGGTCAAAAAAACTCCCATATATGTTTATCTCAATAGACACAGAAAAATTATTTGACAAAATCCAATCCCTTCATAAAAACACATAACTAGAAACTGAAGGAAACTTCCTCAAACTGACAAAGGACATCTACATAAACCCAAAGCTAATAACATATTTAGTGATGAAACCTTGAAAGCTATCCCACTAAGTAAAGGGAAAAAACAACGATATCAGTTCTTGCCACTCATTTAACTTGGTATTAGATATTCTAGCCAAGAAAAATAGGCCAGGAAAAGGAACAAAAAGTAAAAGTAAAGATCTCTACTGGCAAATGACATGATCATATATACAGAAAATCCTAAGGAATCCACAAAGAAACAACCAAAAAATGAAGAGCTAATATGAATTCAGCGAGGCTGCAGGATATATGATCAACATAAAAAATCTATTGTATTTCTATACACTAGCAAAGAACAATAAAAAAATTAAAGAAAATAATCCCACTTACAGTAGCATCAAGAGGAATAAAACATTTAGGAATAAATTAAACAAAGTACAAGATTTGTACACTGAAAACTACAAAAACCCACTGAAGGACATTTTAAAAGATCTAAATAAATGGAAAGGCATCTCATTTCTGGGCTTAGAGGAATGTAATATTTGTAAGATGGCAATACTTCTCAAATTGATCTACAGAGTCAACACAATCCTTGTCAAAATACTAGTTGTCTTTCTTGAAGAAACTGACAAGCTGATTCTAAAATTCAGAAAGACTCAGAATAACCAAAACTATCCTGAAAAACAAGAACAAAGTTGGAAGACTCACTTTCCAATTTTGAAACTTACAAACTTACTACAAAACTACAGTAATCAAGACAGTGTGGTACTGGCATGAGGATATGCAGATCAATGAAACAGACTTGAGAGTCCAGAAGTAAACCCATACATTTGTGATCAATTGATTTCAACAAGGGTGGTGCCAAGACAACTCAATGGGGGAGAAAATGGTCATTTCAACAAAGAGTACTGGGACACCTGAATATATATCTATACACAAAAAAATAAATTTGGACCCATACTTCAAACCATATACAAATGTCAACTCAAAATGGATCAGAGGCTAAAATAATTGTTAAAACTCTTGGAAGAAAATATAGGCATAAATCTTACTGATCGTGAATGAAGCAGTGGTTTCTCAGATATAACACAAAGCATTAGTGACAAAAGAAAAAGCAGATAAAATGGACTGAATCAAAATTAAAAACTTTTATGCTTCAAAGGACAACCATCAAGAACACAGTAACACAACCCAGAGAATGGGAGAAAATATTTGCAGAGCACATATCTGATAAGGGACTTGTATTAAGAATATATAAAGAATTCCTACAAATCAACAATAAAACTACAAATAATCAAATTTTTCAAATAGATAAAGGATTTTAACAGACATTCCCCCAAGGAAGATACACAAAAGGCATATAAAAAGATGCTTAACATCAATAGTCAGTAGGGAAAAGCAAATCAAAATGACAATAATATACCATTTCTTTGTTCTTTCTCTTTCTTTCCCTCTTTTTTTCTTCCTTCCTTTTCTTGCTTTCTTCCTTTCTCTTTCTCTCCTTTCTTTCTATTTACTTATTTAAGACAGGGTCTCACTTTGTCACCCAGGCTGGAGTACAGTGACACGATCACCACTCACTGCAGCCTCGACCTCCCAGACTCAAGACTCATCCTCCTGCTTTGGGCCTCTCACGTGGCTGAGACTACAGGTGGGTGCAACCACACCTGGATAATTTTTTTTTTTTTTTTTTTTTTTTGTAGAGATGGGGTCTCCCTATGTTGCCCAGACTGGTCTCAAACTATTGGACTTCAGAGATCCTCCCACCTCAGGCTCTCAAAATGTTGGCATTACATGTATGAGCCACTGCTCCCAGTCCACTTCTATAAATATACATATATATACACATATATATGTGTGTATATGTATATACATTTTGAGACAGAGTTTCACTCTCAATGCCCAGGCTGAAGTGCAATGACACAATTTTGGCTTACTGCAACTTCTGCCTCCCAGGTTCAAGCAAGTCTCCTGCCTCAGCCTCTCAAGTAGCTGGGATTACAGGCATGCACCACCACACCCAGCTAACTTTTCTGTATTTTTAACAAAGATGAGGTTTCACAATGTGGACCAGGACGGTCTCGAACTCCTGACCTCAGATGATCCACCTGCCTTGGCCTCCCAAAATGCTGGAATTACAGGTATGAGCCACTGCGCCTGGCCCACTTCTACATTTTAAAAGACAGAAAATATGAAGTATTGGCAAGGATGTGGAAAAAGTGTAACCCTTAAACATTGATTATGGGATTGTAAAATGATGCAGCCTATTTGGAAAACCGCTTGGTAGCTATTCAAAAGGTCAAACAAAGTTACCATATGATCCAGCAATTCTACTCCTAGCTGTATTCCCAAAAGGAATGAAAACATATGTCCACACAAAACTTGTACACAAATGTTCACAGCAGCATTATTCACAAATGGCCAAAAAGTAGAAACAATCCAAATGTTTGACTGAATCATGAATAAGTAAAATGTGGTATCCATACAATAAAAATGACAACAGGAATAAAGCACTGATACATGCTACAACATGGATGAACCTTGAAAACATTATGCTTAGTGAAGGAAAACAGATATATAAGGACCACATCTCATATTAATCCATTATGAAATGTCCAGAACACGCAAATCCTTAAAGAAAGTAGATTAGTGATTGCCAGGTGCTGGAAGGAGAGGGGAATGGATAAGGACTGCTAATGAGCTTGGGAATTTTTTAGGGGTAATAAATTTCGGAAATTAGATAGAAGTGATAGTTGCAGAACTTTGTGACTATACTAAAAATCACTTGACTGTGCACTTAAAGTATAAATTTTATATTTTGTGAATCATCTCAGTTTTTAAAAAGTGAAAAAATACTGACATTACCGTCTGCATACATATTTTAAGTATAAGGATTTATGCAAAGAAAACCTTTGAGGTTAGACAGACATGGGTTCAAAATTCTGTCTCTGCTCTTCACAGGCTTCTCAGCAAATTCTTTATCTTCATCTTGTTTTCTCACCTTCAAAAAGGGCATATATTTACTGTAAGGTGAGGGAAAT